GAGTTATTATCCCTATTTAATCCAATATTCCATTATTTTAACATATTGAGTTATAGCATTCTCTTACATTTTCATATTGATATTAAATAGGGATAATAACTTTCTTTTTTTATGTAGAGCTCATCTTAAACTTAGTGGACCGGAGACTTTATTGGGTACACCAGAAATTTGGCGATTCCACATCATCCTATAGGATTGGCGATGCCCCTCTTGATGTGAATATATCCGGCTTCTCCCCAATCACCACCGTAAGAGTTCTTAACGAACCAAAAAATTTTTTTTCTCCTGTCCGACTCTGTTCCATACCCGACAATTGTCATGCGTGACTTAGTTTTTTTTTTTTTGTCAAATCTTATAGAAGAAATTATTATTATTAAATTATTAGATTACAAGATCCTAATACATATATATATAGCGTTTAACATTAACATATTTGATAACAACAAATAATGTAAATTTTCTTAATCCTTATCACAATATGTTATCTATGAAAATATTCTTTGGTTGGATTCACCGGCTTCACTTTATAACTGGGCTCTTAATGGCCCACAATACTTGGTTCGTACTTACTCTCCAAGATATCTTCAATATCCTCCCGCACGACAAAGGTTGTATGCGAAACCCAAAAATCTGCAGTCACAATGCAGAACATGTTTGTTGTGGACACTTGTCGAAGATGGACAAAACAGGTCATTGACTCTGGATATAAACTTTAGTCAGGGATGGAACTTCAGCTCGTCTTTGGTCTGAAAAAAAAGGGAATAACATCCGGTGGATGCGAATTTCTACAACTCCACAAATAATCATCTTTGTATAGGACAGTCCAGTAAATCAGATTAAAAAAATGACCTAAAAACATAAGCGTTCCAATACAAATCCATAAACCCTAAACCAACTTCCTCGTAATAGAAAAAGGCAAAACATATAAATTCTGAGATATTCTAAATTTAAGAATAAATCTCAAAGCAAAAAAAAATATATCCCGTGAAAACCCTAACTTTTAAAGAAAATATCTCTTAAGAAACTTTTGATAATAAGTTCTTAAACTTGAAAGAAAGAAAACATAAATTATAACCAAAAACTTAATTTAAAAAACCAAAAATAATGATTTGGACTAAACACACGTAACAAAAAAAAACCAAACTAGAAAAACTAATTAAAAAGAGTAGAACAAAAGAATCATGTGATGGTATTTCACGTCATCTTCATCATCGTCATCACCATCTTCCTCACCGTCTTCAACACCAAGGATCATTGTTTTCTTAATCACACTAAACTTCTATTGCGGAACCGTTAACTTTGATCATAGAAATCGAAAGCTTTCATACCATGTCAAATCTTATAAAATAGAATATTATTATTAAGTTATTGGATTAGAAGATCCTAACATATATATAGCGTTTAACATTAACATATTTGATAACACCAAATAATGTAAATCGATGAAACGTAGACAACAGCAAACAAACAATCGATGCATACATTTCGGGGTTTAGAATTAAACTATTGTGAGAGCGAGCGATGGAGCATTAATTAATTGAGGGGTTTATTGATGAAACTCCATTGATGAAAAAAGAGAAAAAAAAAAG